TATTCTTCACTTAAATGCCACTGGCTGGTGATTGTGTACCTCTGTTCAGGGTCACTGTCTGTTGTCTGAAAAAGACATTTTTTTAGCAACTTTAATGGATTCTTTTTCTCAACAATAAGAGAGTTTATTGCCTCAGTAATTTTCTTTGAACAACTGTGTGAACATTGTGCCAGTGTTGTTGGGGTTTTTTTTTTTTTTTAAATTTTACTTGGTCCTTAAGTTCAGAACAGCCTGTTTTTACAGCTTATTTTATTTCCTGTGTTGAATTTGTTCTCGGCTTGCATTTTTGTGCTGGTTTAACTCCTGGATTTGTGTTAGTTTTTTCATAACCATTAAACGTTATACGTCTGCTGGGTATTTAAATTGACCCTCATTACAATTGGTATAAGCACATACATATAGGTTTCAGACAATTCCCATGACATTGGCAGCTTTCTGTCCATAAAGCGTTAGAAACTGATTTTAGTCTAGGTTGATGTAATCATAGCTTGGGCTCGAATGGACAGCACATAGTGGGTGTCTGCAGTGGAGCTGGTTGCGATCAGCTTTAGCAGATGTTGGTGCTGAGTGGGAAAAGTAATGGATTTCTCTGTAGTCCTTTGGCAAGGCTCCAGCAGCCGAGAACCATCTTCACCACCACTACCACTACTCCTCCCCCTGACGGCCAACCCTCTACCGCTGACTGTTATCTCTTTGCTCCAGGCTGCTCCACTGCCACTTTACACACCAGGATGGTAAAGAATGGACATACAGGAAAACACACATAAACACAGACAAGCACAGAGACAGATAATACTCAGGCCTGACCAACATAGACGCGCTAGTGTTGTACTGGAGATTTATCATATGGGCATACCGATAACCTTCCCCCAAAAATGTTTTAAGCTTAATGACTAATGTATTTTCTGTTCATTATGAGCGAGTAAACATTCATCAGCTTAAAGATCATTGGGGAAAACAATGGTCATAACTTTTCTTAGGATCATCATGTTTCTTTTTAACCAGGCGTATTCTGTCTCAAACTCATTTTTAAAAATTAACTCAGTACAATGATATAAGAGTCAAGTTGGGGCATTGTCTAAATTAGCATTTTCTTACATGCCACGCAGTCTATGTTCATTCACACTAGTGAAAATGGCATATAACATACATTTGTAGTTATTAGCTGACATTGCAGGGTGCAGTGCGACACTAAAAAACCCGTGCCTGAACCCATAACAGCAGGGAAAAACTGCTGAAATAAAGCACTTGTAGTGTATTTTAATTAAAACTGTCCTGTTTCAGGTTTTGTTCTGCTTGAATTATCACTCATTTCTGACCCAAATATCTCACAGTAGCTGTCAGACTTTAGTGTGCACACACAGAGATGCATCATCATCTGATTACATCATGCCGTCCATCGTAAAAGCCAACAGAATGCTATACTGACAGAGATCATGTTTAACCCAAACACCCTCTTTTCCTGCTACATTTTGTGGCATGCAAGTGTGTCCCTTTCTCTCCAGGTTCTGGCACATTAAGCCCGTAGCAGAAACATTGGTCGTATTGAATCGGAAATATCGAGGGCAGTGTTAGCCTCGGGGGCAGCCAGGCAGGTTGTCAGAAGGAAGGTCAGTAGTTCACAAACCTTGACTGGCTGGGAAAATCTGGATGGCATGCCCTTTAGCAAGTCATTTAACCCCTGATTGCCCAAAGGAAGATTTTTTTATTTTTTTATTGTCTGACTGTAAAAGACAGTTGCAACATGAAGCTTCCAGCTACGGCTCTGCATAAAAGTGAAGCAAGTTATTGCAGAATAGAGCATTCTTGTTAACTTTTTCCTCATGAATAAATGTTAAAATCATAATATAGCCCCTGTACCTCGTGGGTTTCCACCCACATCATTGGAATAGAAGATTTGATGCTTTGAAATGTTTAACAGCCAGTAGTAGATGTCAGGGATGGTGATGTACTGCAATATTTTCTAACCATTCTTTTTATGGACTAATCTTTGTTACAGACTGTCCTAAGGCTGTGACCTGATGTGCCCTCTCTAGAACTTAGCTGACACATTTCTACAGTAACAGTATTTTTCATTTTTATGCTCTTTATGATGCTCTCTTAGGCTCTTTAATTTGATGACCAGATTCTCAGTTGGCTTACTTTTCTGCATTGTGCCTTTTTTGTCTTTATGAAACAGCACATTATAATGGATTGCATTTTTTTTTTTTTTAATTGTCAGATATTTTGAGGCTGGTGGGTTTTTTTGGTACATACTATAGAATGTAGTGTGCATCTTCAAAGGACACTGAAGACAACCCCAAACTGATGTAATTAAGAAGAACAGAAAAGAACTGACATCTTGTACGAATACTTTTTTTCATTTCTAGATTTCTTGTGTGGTAGGGCGTCTCTGCTTTGGTACAAAGTGTATGAAAACATCTCGCATTAGAAGCCACAGAGCTTTATAAACTTCAAATTGCCCAATTTATCTAAAGAGATGATGAATTTTTCATCAAACCTGAACAGCCGATATTTGTGCTTAAAAACTATAGAAATGTAGCACAGCTGTACTTTCAATGATTGCAGTTTCCTTAAAAGTTCTATATTCCTTTTATTCAGTTTTCCTAACTCCAGCCATAATAAATTGTTAAAGACTAGCCTTTCAATGGCCTCTTGGGGAATAAAGCATATAAACGCATTAGGCGTTCCCCAGGGTGCTAATCTGGGTCCACGGTAGATTCCTAATTATCAGTGTTTATCTTTTCATTGTCCAGAGCCTCTCTATCACTCGTGTCTGCTCAGTGAAGTAACAGACACACTCCAGGCTCTCCGCTTCCCATGTGAGAGCAGAGATTCTGCCTGACATCAGACATGGGAAGCGAGCTGCAGCAGCATGAAGGGTAAAAGGTCGAGACTTGACCACCCCAGGCAGATAAAGCAGCCTTTTCATGTGTGATCAGCCCACAGCCTAAAGACAAATCCCTCAGTTTGCTGCCTTTGAACTTCACTGCAACTGCAGTGAGTCCCCTACTCGCTCTGTGGCTGACAAAGAGAGAATGAACGCACACCCTATTATTTTATTAAAATATTTCGCCACCACTTCTTTACTTTCCTTCATTTGAAGCTGAATGAAAGGAATGAATGTGCAACATAAAGAAATGCCTGCTCTTTCCAGGAGTACACTAATTAGGTGATCCAGGTAGAATTCATTATCCTTTGCTAGTTTTCCTATTAAATTGGTGATACTGAAAATGGAGACGAGGAGGATGAACGAAAGCAGATGAGATGGATTTTTATAAAATAATTTTGTTTAAGGGGCTGGAACAAAATATGTGAAAGATCTTGCCAGTATAATACATTCAGTTCCTGCAGCTCACTGTAGATGCTTAGTGTAAAAAATCGGGCTCAGGCAGCCTCCAGTTCTCCATCAAGCCTTTTTACAAAGCAATTATGACATTCATAACACTCTTTCTTCAGCCCCCTTCCACTCTTTCCCATCAGTGCATAATTCATAGGCAACTCATCTCCAAAGCTAAGCCAATTGCATCCTCTCTAAACGAGCATGCAGTGCAGCTCCCACAGCAGCACAAAAGAAATGTCAGTCTCATGACAGACTATTTCACGTTCTTTGTTTCATAAGAATGGATGTAAATAGAGGGCGTTCTTCTGCTGCTGCTCTCCCAGGTAGAGGGAATGCAAACAATGCTGCGGACCTGATGTGTGTACTTGCTGCTTTCCAGATGATTTAGCTCTGTAATTCTGCCACTTGGCTGCC